GCCGGTAAACGAGCAGACGGATCACCTGATGGTAAGCAATCGGCGTCGCCCATGGACACCTGGAACACCAGAGGCGTTACAAGTGCGTTACCGGCCTTTCGGGGATTAGGATTTTGAAGATCGTTGGGGGATTCAGGAATTGGGGAGATTGGGGAAGGGGAGGGTAATTGGGCCTCCGGTAACTCCGGTCACTCACAAGACGAAACACAACGCAAGCGTTGCTTCACGTCGGTTTTCTGTGAGGCCGTGGTATGACTCCGGTCGAGCCGGCCCATTCGTGCCGAAGCATGGCTCTCCCACACTTAAAACTTTTCTTACTAACAGATTTCAAAACATGAGGATTTACTATATCTGTCTAGGTTCTAACACACAATCTAACACAATCGAGTTAATCGTATATAACACAATTGGGTAATTTCCTTAATTCAAAATAAATTGTTTCGACTGTTCAATACAATAAAATATTTAAAAAATAATCACACTTTTATTAATTGATTTTATGACCAACATAATTTTAGTATTTTTCCTACTATTTTTTAAGAAATAAGTATGCTGTTTGACGCTAAAAAAATGTGGAGTCACAATACACAATATGTCGTTCACAATCAAAACTAGGGTTGCCACCCGTCATCAACAGCCTATAAATGCCCACTGCTGAGCAAAGCCTCTTCTCACACGGAGAAGGTTAGAGCATTAATCACCACGCTTGCTCAATGCGGGTTGGCGATTTCAAACTTATAATTAGAAATTATAAGCCCAGGTTTCCTCACGATGTTTTTCCTTCACCGTTTGTCAGTGGTGTCTAAATAATCTTAGAAAGTACATATAACTCGGAAAAAGTCACATTGGTACTTGCAGTTGGTAGGTTCCGAACCCGCACCCTCATGCATGAGAAGCAGGCGTCTTAAACCTCCGGGCCACCACGACACTTACCACCCGTACTTTATAATAAAGTATTGTACGTTATTTAAGGTAATTGTACTCTATACTTTATAAGAATAATAAAGTACACGAAAATACTTTATTTTTGCAAAATTCGATATCGATATTTATCGACTTATGTGGAATCGATTTCACCGCTCGCCAGCGCCACTTAGACAATTTCTAGTTAAGATGCAATTGTTTAGTAAAGATACTAATTTAATACAACCTGCAAAAAGCAATTAAAAGTATATTTTTAAATATAATACTAAATAAGAATAATTTGTACTTTATTTTTGTACTGTGTACTTTTTTTTCTTACCTACAACCGTCAATGTACTTTAAATACCAAAATAAAAGGTGGCAGCCCTAATCAAAACTGTAGTTTTTGACAGTTCGAAAAAAAGTATTGAATTTGACTAGTTGGCGAGTACCCGATTCTTTACAATTCTAACCCAGTTCTATATAAAACTAGCTTTAACGCGCGGCTTCGCTCGCGTCAAAAAAGGATAAAAAGTAGCCTATGTGACTATCCATCCCATCAACTACCTTTAGTTAAAAAATCACGTTAATTAGTACCTCCGCTTTGCAGTTTAAGACTGGCAAACAAAGAAATAGCTTTCCGCTCGAGTGCAATTCGGTTATATCGCGCTTTTTAGATTTTTCCGTGGGAATGAGAAGTTCTGCCGCGGTAAAGCCTTTCTTTTCCAGGACTCAAACTACCTTCATACTAAATTTCTTCAAAATCCGTTCAGCTGTTTAGGCGTAAAAGAACAACACACAGAAGGAGTTATTTTTGCATTACCACAAATACCATCCTCCCATTTAAATTTAAAAGACTTCACCTAACTAATATACCTACAGCTACTGTATCAATCAACCTAAACAATGTACAAACTTTGTTCTACAAAGCGACTTAAAACGACGAGAAAACAATAACTAGTATAACTACTTTAGATAACAATAACTACCTAGAAAAAAAAAAACACTTGACAATCAAACCTATTATTAAGCGAGCGAAAAAAAACACCAATCATAGTGCTTAGATGCTTACAACAAAATTTATTTGTTACGGAAGCTTGGAAACTATACTTTCGCCGGTAAAGAAACCATAGCGCCATCTAACTCGATCCGAATGCCATCTATCGAACGTTGAAACAACAGCGTACAATTTACTTGCTATTTGTTGAGTATCGTTGACGCTATGATTTAGTGTACCTTTATCAACCTAAAGTTTAGAAAATACACAATTTAATGTAAATTGGTAGGAACCAAAATTCAAAAATGCTTAAAAAACACAACGTTACCACGTTTTTAAAAACACCCAGCGCCATCTGTCGCTAAGTACAGCCACTACTACATAGATACCAATTAGTAATTCGTTGACTTATAAAACAGCAGATAAATGCGTCGAAAAGTGCACCGAATAAGTGTAGGTAGCGCTATTAGATAAAAGCGTGAGATTTCCAATTGGTAGGTAATTCGTTGACTTGTATTAAATGACATACAGCGCCATCGATACCAATACACACAGCGCCATCTTTACCAATATTTTTGTTTTCCCTCGGGAATATAAATTTATCCGAAATAAAAAGTACCTTATTGTTTAATCCGGACTTCTAACTTTACGTCTGCAAAATTTCAAAGCAATCGGTTTAGTAGTTACGGCTTGAAAGCAGAACAAACAAACAAAGAAACTAACAAACTACATAACTCACTTTCCGATTTATAATATTACTGAGGATAATCGAGTTAATGTTAGTGATTTTTTTTTGTTTCATACGAAGTCTACTTCTCCCCCTGTAGTGTTTCTATGAGTTTAGAGCGTTTATTAATTGTGAAGACAATTTAATTAATTTGCTTCTCTTCTTCCTGTAGGAATCCAAGAAGGTGTATGTATAACGCTAGACGGTTCGTGCGTGGCCCCGCTGGGCGAGGGTCGCCTGGCGCTGTCCCTGCGCGGCGGCCAGCTGTACGTGCTGACGCTGCTGGCGGACTCCGTGCGCACCGTCCGCAGCTTCCACCTCGACCGCGCCGCCGCCTCCGTGCTCACTACTTGTGTAAGTACAATACTCCCGCGCACTGTCCCCCGCGGCGGCCAGCTGTACGTGCTGACGCTGCTGGCGGACTCCGTGCGCACCGTCCGCAGCTTCCACCTCGACCGCGCCGCCGCCTCCGTGCTCACTACTTGTGTAAGTACAATACTCCCGCGCACTGTCCCCCGCGGCGGCCAGCTGTACGTGCTGACGCTGCTGGCGGACTCCGTGCGCACCGTCCGCAGCTTCCACCTCGACCGCGCCGCCGCCTCCGTGCTCACTACTTGTGTAAGTACAATACTCCCGCGCACTGTCCCCCGCGGCGGCCAGCTGTACGTGCTGACGCTGCTGGCGGACTCCGTGCGCACCGTCCGCAGCTTCCACCTCGACCGCGCCGCCGCCTCCGTGCTCACTACTTGTGTAAGTACAATACTCCCGCGCACTGTCCCCGCGGCGGCCAGCTGTACGTGCTGACGCTGCTGGCGGACTCCGTGCGCACCGTCCGCAGCTTCCACCTCGACCGCGCCGCCGCCTCCGTGCTCACTACTTGTGTAAGTACAATACTCCCGCGCACTGTCCCCCGCGGCGGCCAGCTGTACGTGCTGACGCTGCTGGCGGACTCCGTGCGCACCGTCCGCAGCTTCCACCTCGACCGCGCCGCCGCCTCCGTGCTCACTACTTGTGTAAGTACAATACTCCCGCGCACTGTCCCCCGCGGCGGCCAGCTGTACGTGCTGACGCTGCTGGCGGACTCCGTGCGCACCGTCCGCAGCTTCCACCTCGACCGCGCCGCCGCCTCCGTGCTCACTACTTGTGTAAGTACAATACTCCCGCGCACTGTCCCCCGCGGCGGCCAGCTGTACGTGCTGACGCTGCTGGCGGACTCCGTGCGCACCGTCCGCAGCTTCCACCTCGACCGCGCCGCCGCCTCCGTGCTCACTACTTGTGTAAGTACAATACTCCCGCGCACTGTCCCCGCGGCGGCCAGCTGTACGTGCTGACGCTGCTGGCGGACTCCGTGCGCACCGTCCGCAGCTTCCACCTCGACCGCGCCGCCGCCTCCGTGCTCACTACTTGTGTAAGTACAATACTCCCGCGCACTGTCCCCCGCGGCGGCCAGCTGTACGTGCTGACGCTGCTGGCGGACTCCGTGCGCACCGTCCGCAGCTTCCACCTCGACCGCGCCGCCGCCTCCGTGCTCACTACTTGTGTAAGTACAATACTCCCGCGCACTGTCCCCCGCGGCGGCCAGCTGTACGTGCTGACGCTGCTGGCGGACTCCGTGCGCACCGTCCGCAGCTTCCACCTCGACCGCGCCGCCGCCTCCGTGCTCACTACTTGTGTAAGTACAATACTCCCGCGCACTGTCCCCCGCGGCGGCCAGCTGTACGTGCTGACGCTGCTGGCGGACTCCGTGCGCACCGTCCGCAGCTTCCACCTCGACCGCGCCGCCGCCTCCGTGCTCACTACTTGTGTAAGTACAATACTCCCGCGCACTGTCCCCCGCGGCGGCCAGCTGTACGTGCTGACGCTGCTGGCGGACTCCGTGCGCACAAACAAGTTGAACAAACAAACAGACACATAGTTTCGCGTATGTTACGTCACGTAACGTATAGGTGTTATTTTTTTTAAAAGGGTTATAATGGAATTTCTTGTTTGTTGAGTAGGTGCTCGTTGACTTCACTGACTGATAGAATGACGGACAATTCTACTTTAATATTTTCAACTGCTCTCATTCGCCCTAGAATGCGAAAGTTTGTGTGTGTGTGTGTGTGTGTGTTTGTTTGTTTGTTTGTTTGTTTGTTACTCTCTCACGTCAAAACGGCTGAAGGGATCGAGATGATATTTGAAACAGGAGTATATTATGGTCTGTAATAACACATACAATACAATATTCCATGGTATCGCAGGCGAAGCTCCTGGCAGAACCTTGTGTTATATAAACCACACCACAGACGTCTGTTCATGCCTTAATTGACTTTAAAATTATCCCTATCAATATAAGTAGTACATAAATTAATGTTAAACAAACTTTTTCTACAGATGTGTGTAATAGAAGAAGACTTCCTATTCCTTGGCTCTCGTCTCGGCAACTCTCTACTCTTGAGAGTGACGGAGAGAGAGAACAGAATGTTGTTCTCTGTAGACAAGCCGTTGGAAGCTACCGTTGATCTCACCGTGTCGGAAAATGGTAAGTGATAATACACACATACATCTATTTAAAAAACCGGCAACGCATTTGTCCATGTATCCTTACTATGCAATAATTCATTAGTCAGTTTGCTTGCTAACATTTAAAATGCGAGGTTATTGTCAAACAAACCAATTATTATTATAGATTATCTCTATGCTATTAAAGATAGTTAAAAATTCAAGTCTAGATAAGTCATAATCAAAACATAGATTTTTCACTTCAACAGCCCATTGCTGAACTACGGGCCACCTCTTTTTTTTTTAAGGGGGAATATCATCGAATGACTGCTCCTGCCCGGGCCACCTCTAAATAAAAGGGGTTCGCCATTAACTCCGTGCTTGGTAGACTGATTGGTAATCGCATATGAAAAGGTTTAGTTAGGTTTGCAATAGAACATTGCTATCAGGTCTCTGTTAGATGTGTTACCTTTGTCGGTTCTAACGACACAAACAGAAAAAGTGCTAGTTACAAAATGTATTCTACTTTACCATCAATGTTTTTTCATTTAATATAATAATTTATTTCTATTCAGCGGAGCACCAAGCCCAACAGTCACAACAAGCCCAACAGTCGCAACAAGCCCAACAGTCGCAACAAGCCCAACAAGCCCAAACAGCGCAACAAGCACAACAGTCGAAGGAAGACCCGGCGGCCAAGAAGCGTCGTTTAGACACTATCAGTGACTGTGTGGCCACCAATGTGATAGAAATCAGTGATAAAGATGAACTCGAAGTGTACGGATCTGATATTAGGACTTCTACTCAACTTACTAGCTATGTTTTTGAGGTGAGTCTTGTATATTTGAATTTGAATTTGTTTATAGTGGAGTTGTAAATCATTATAGTAATGAAAATAATTAATTGCTGTGCTTGTAGCTGACCATGACAACTTCATAACGCCTAACTTATTTTTCAGTTTTGTAACCTTCCCTGGACTTCCACGAACATTTCAGTACTAAAATTATCCGAATCGGTTCAGCTGTTCTCGATCAGTTTTAGCGAGACTAACGAACGGTCATTGATTTTTATTTATAGATTTAGATATTCTAGATTAGATAAAAAGATATATGTAGGTAACATTACACAGAGAAAGTCAAAGCTGCCTTAGCTACAAAGCATATTTGAGCGAAATCTACAAAATTCCACGCAGATGGAGCCGATGGTGGAGAGCTAGTTACAGAACATGTTCAAAGATAAAGATAAAGATCATTTATTTGCATAAACATGTGTCATTCATACAAAAGCATGCAAGATGTTAATTGTTTAAAATCAGTGTCCAATACATGTTTTGCCCTTAGGGGCGTACAAATTCAATTTATATTAATTACAATTCATATTAAGATGTCAAAAAAGTATTATTAAATATTATTACGGTCTACATTTATTCATACAGTGTCAAAAAGTAGTGTCAGCCAGAAAGTCATTCAAACAATAGTAACACTTTTCTGCTAGTAAGCGTCTCATTTTTATCTTAAACATATTGGTGTTTAAACATTTATAATCCCGTGGAATTTTATTATAAATTATTGGCGCCATACAAAAAACGTTTTTGTGCATAAGAGCAGTCCTAGCGGGTTTCAGGCGAAGTCTGCTGTTATCCCGTCTATTCCGAGGCACAGTGTCAGACAGACGTGGGAAAAGATCAGGATTCGTTTTTACGAAAGTCGCAGTTTCAAGAATATAAAGAGATGGTAGAGTTAGTATTTTATATTTTTAAAGATAGGCATACAGCTCTCTGTTGACTTTAGGTTAAACATGGCCCTAAGGCATCTTTTTTGGGACTTGAATGCAATTTCTTTGTCTGTAGAATTACCCAGAAAATTACACCGTAACGCAACACTGATGCAGCCAATCCATAATACGCTGTCACTAGAGCGTCAGGATTAAGCACTGGTGCAAGTTTGTATAGTGCATACGCAGATGAGTTTAGTCTCTTGCTTAAATTCTCAATGTGATGTTTCCAATTCAATTTCTTGTCAATTATTATACCGAAAATTTTGTGGATTCAACTTCATTGATTATTGTGTCATTGTAGGCAACATTTACATTTGATTTAGATTGGTCTCGTTGGCTGAAATGGATAATGTTTGTCTTATTCAAATTAATTTTTAAATTGTTTCTATCTAACCAAGTTATTATTGATGTCAAGGAGTTATTAATGTCAGATTCATATGTCAAAATATTTTTACATTCTATGGTCATTGTACTGTCATCGGCAAATAGAGTTATAGGGTAGTCAATAATTTTAGGCAGGTCATTTATATATAAGATAAATAACAATGGCCCTAATACACTGCCCTGTGGGACACCGTATAGAGGAGAGTTCGTCTGATACGAAAATTTCCTCTTTTTTTTGTTTTTACATTAATCCTAGTAATTTCTGTGTATTGTTTTCTATTGCTTACATACGATTGAATAAGATTCAAAATTTCCGCGTATTCCATAAGCCTCAGTTTCTGCAATAGGATTCTGTGATCAACGTAGTCAAAAGCTTGTGTCATATCACAAAACACAGCCGATACCGGGATTTTCTTGTCGACGCTAACCATTATTTTGCTTAAAAAATCATAGATGGCCATATTTATAGTCTTATTTTCCCTGAAACCCTTCTGTTCGTTGCATAGGATTTGTTTTTTTTCTATAAAGGAATAAAGTTCTTTATATAAGTATTTTTCGACTATTTTGGATATGATAGGAATAAGGGATATTGGTCTATAGTTCTCCCTATCTTCTCTGCTATTTTTCCTTTTAAATATTGGTTTTACCACTGATATCTTCAAGGCATCTGGGTATACCTGAGCTTATACACAAGTTGATGAGGTAGCTTAGGTGGACATCTATGGTTTCTGAGACATATTTTATGACTTTTGTAGAAATTTCATCATAACCTACACTATTTGATGATTTTAAGTTTTTTATAATCTTATTTACATCTATCGGTGTAGATGGTGCGACAAAGATTGAATCTTTACTGCTTTTGATGAGAGATTTTACATTTTGCCCGGACCCTTGAATGGGTTTGATCTTTTCCACAAAATAACTATTAAATGCGTTGGCTATATCAAGGGGGTCACTAATTGTTACATTATTTACATTAATTTTATTAATGGTTTCTTTAGGGATGTTACATTTTGTATTATTTATTATACTCCAAGTGGTTTTAGATTTATTAGTTGAGGTTCTAATGGAATGATTATGTTGAACACGTTTAGTTAATGTGACAATTTTTTTAAGTTTCTTTGAGTAGGTTTTGAAAATTTCCCTGTTGCAATATGTAGGGTTTAGTCTGTAGCGCCATAATAGCTGTCGTTTTCTCTTACTGCACAATTTAATGCCTCGCGACATCCATCTTGGCTTTTTTGTTAAGTTAACATTAATTATTTTGTGTGGAAAACACAAATCATAAAATAATTTAAAGTAGTCAATAAAAATGTCATATGCTTTGTTTGGATCACTTGTGTCGTATAGATCAGAGAAAGTCAGTTGTTTCAGATATTCATTAAACTTAGTCATATTTTCAATATTGTAGTCCCGTCGTTTTATACGCCAATATTTTAAAATACATGTTTTTTTCACGGGAATTTTTAGTATTTGGGCCGTATGGTCAGATAATGCGAACTCCACAACATCTGTTTCGCACGAAGATTTAAAATTATGTGCTATATTGTCTATGCATGTTTGTTTTTGGGTCCTTGTGGGTTGTTTAAAAGCTAATTTTAAGTCAAAGTTTAGTAGCATGTTTTCAAATTCTAGGGTAATTCTATTTCGTTCCAGAACGTTAATGTTAAAGTCACCTGCTAGTATAACATTTTTATATTTTTTTCTACTTATACATTGTAATGCTTTTTCTAAAATTTCAAAAAATAACTCGAAATTACTGATTCTGTTGTTTGGTATTCTGTAGAAACACAAAATGGCTATTTGGTATTGGATAAGTTCCGCACCGCAACATTCAACCACACCCGCTATAGACAAATCGTTAATCTGCAGTAATTTACGCCATTGATGTCCATTTTTAATTAAAATACATGTCCCACCGCGTTTATTGTCATTTCTACAGAATGATGACACTAAAGTATAGTTAGGTATTGTTAAATGACTCTCGTAGCCTAACATCATAAAATGTTCCGTTATACATAGAATGTCAACATTAATATTTTTATCTAAAAGTTCGTCTAAACAGATACATAACGATTCTACCTTATTCAATAATCCTGCGATGTTTTGATGCATGACATATAAATGATTCTCAACGAAAAAGCCAATTATTCATTACGATATTATTTGTAGGTTTATGTTCTGTCAATATTTTTAAATTACTGTTTGTATTCATTTTGTTGTCATGCATGCTTATGCTAGTAACAAGAGAAAGTAAGTCTACAAAAATAGTACGAAATCCAAAGTTATTCAGTTGTCCAGAGTGTCGATAAAATGTGTTGTAGTCGTAAGAAATGTTTGAGTTGGAGTCTAAAACAAAAGCATATTTGTGAGTTATTACATCTTGATATAGTAAATTATTAAAACTTCTAACTCTCCAGTTATACATGTTACAATGTGAGTTATATTTATATGTCGGCAGACAGATCACAATGTTTGTGTGCACTATTTGGCTGAGTGTATTTCTAATATCCAAAACAATATGTTCATGATTGTATGCTAATGTTTTTATTTTTATTGGTACTGTTTTTACCGTGGGAGTAATACCACGGTCTCACAGAAAACCGGTGTGAAGCAGCGCTTGCGCTGTGTGTTACCGAGTGAGTTGAGGGTATCCGACGCCCAACCCCCCTCCCCCTTCATAATGGCGCAGTTGATATCTGAGTTTCTACCCCAGGAGAGTACCAACTGCGTTGGAGAATCCCTCTCTGGACGTCCATTTTCAGCACAAGTACCCTGAGCGTGGACGTCCAGGCTGCCCCATATCGTACGGGGGGGGAGGACTGCAGATTGTATAAGCTGGAGGCAAGAGCAGAATAACTATGGCACCCCCTACCACGCCGAACGTGGACTATCATAATCATTATATTACACACCAACCTCAATGTTGTCCATCACCACCTAGAGAGAGCAAAGCTGGCCTTGCTCTTTTTGACAGAGACGCAAATATCGTCTCCGTTGGACACATCCTACCTCACCTACCCTGGGTATGGACTAGAACATTCCTTCCTGCCTAGGGCCGGGGTATGCGTGTACGTCAGGGACGACATCAGCTCTTGTCGCCTCATTAATCTTGAAGGTAGGAACCTGTCCACCTTATGGCTGCATGTAGATAACGACGACCACCCCCGTGTCTATGCGTGCCTATATAGGTCCCACAGCTTTGACCGACTCATGGACCACATCCAAACGGCTGTAGATCTTGTGCAGGGGCAGATACCCTCAGCGGAAGTGGTTTTACTAGGCGATTTCAACGCCCATCACGCCGACTGGCTCTGCTCCAGACTAATACTGACCACGCGGGGAGATCTGTCCACGACTTTGCGCTTGCTTCTGGCACAACTAGTGACCGCGCCCACGCGAATACTAGACGTGGAGGGCCAGAGTCTACACTGTTGGACCTCCTGCTGACCTCTCACCCGGACGGCTACAGCGTATCCGTTGATGCCCCTCTAGGCTCATCAGACCATTGTCCGGAGCTCTGTATCTTGGACGTGCTCACCGCGACTACAAGAGGTACACGGTCGCCGTATGGTACTATAGGTCGGCAGATTGGGATGGGATGCGGTCCTTTTTTGCATCCTACCCTTGGAGGCGGGTTTGCTTCTTGCAGGCTGATTCCAACGCCGCTGCCGCCGATGGATCTTTTTGTCATATCTTCTCGGGTCCGTCAGAGGCAGATATCGGCTTTGGTTTGGTACTTCTACCAGAAAGGCCTCACGCAGAAAGCGGGGTGCCTACCAAGCCTGGGTCGATGCGGCGGTGGCACGGATTGTAAATACCAGCTCACTAAAAAAGGAGTATAACTTTGCCTCCATGTCCTTCTAAAGTCGGAGTCGCAGAGAACCTATCGGAGTCGCGGAGAACCTAACGGGTTACCGGGGTTTTGGCTCGATGTGCAGGAGAAGGAACATAGTGGTTTTTAGTCAGTAAGAGCCTCCCGCCTCACCCAGGCGAGAGCAGTCATTCGATGATTTCCCCCCTTAAAAAAAAAGTCCTTCAAAAGAGCTGTAGCAGGGTCCAAGTCGCAGCACATCGGTAGATTTGGTGAGAGGCTTGAGTGCCTTCCTTCAGAAACTCGTGCATTCTGGTCGCTCGCCAAAGCTATCGAGGGCAATTTCTGCAGGCCGTCATTTCCAGCTCTGCACATGGGTGGGGATTCGTTGGCATTGGGAAATCTTTGCGTCCAACTCGACACTGTTTAGTTTACCTAACGCACCGGTGGGCACAGGCGATTGAGTCTAAGGGGCAAGCGTTGGCAGTACCAGTACAGTACAGTAGTAGATTAACGATCGGGCAAAGTACTACTGAGTTTAAAAAAAACCTTAGTACTAGCACGACGTCTGGAATTGTGCCCAGTATATGGTAATAGGCCTAACCCCTATTACATGGGACTCGTAACATAAATAGTGAAAAGTGGGTTTTACATTGTACAGTGGCATTAAGTGCCGTAATGTGCACTTCTGCCTACTCTTTCTGGGATAAAAGGCGTGGTGTTGTTATGTTGAAAATAATTTGTTTCGACTTGGAAAACTGTATTGTATTCCAGGTATGCGACTCGCTGCTGAACATTTGCCCCATCGGCGACGTGTCGATGGGCGAGCCGCAGCTGGTGAGCGAGGAGGCGGCCGACACCGAGCCGCGCGCGCCGCTACTGGAGCTCGTCGCGTGCAGCGGCCGCGGCAAGAACGGCGCGCTCACCGTGCTGCAGCGCGCCGTGCGCCCGCAACTCATCACGTCCTTCAACCTGCCCGGTACGTGCCAGTCTTATTGTCAAGCTACAACCTGTCAGCGGCCGCGGCAAGAACGGCGCGCTCACCGTGCTGCAGCGCGCCGTGCGCCCGCAACTCATCACGTCCTTCAACCTGCCCGGTACGTGCCAGTCTTATTGTCAAGCTACAACCTGTCAGCGGGCGCGGCAAGAACGGCGCGCTCACCGTGCTGCAGCGCGCCGTGCGCCCGCAACTCATCACGTCCTTCAACCTGCCCGGTACGTGCCAGTCTTATTGTCAAGCTACAACCTGTCAGCGGCCGCGGCAAGAACGGCGCGCTCACCGTGCTGCAGCGCGCCGTGCGCCCGCAACTCATCACGTCCTTCAACCTGCCCGGTACGTGCCAGTCTTATTGTCAAGCTACAACCTGTCAGCGGCCGCGGCAAGAACGGCGCGCTCACCGTGCTGCAGCGCGCCGTGCGCCCGCAACTCATCACGTCCTTCAACCTGCCCGGTACGTGCCAGTCTTATTGTCAAGCTACAACCTGTCAGCGGGCGCGGCAAGAACGGCGCGCTCACCGTGCTGCAGCGCGCCGTGCGCCCGCAACTCATCACGTCCTTCAACCTGCCCGGTACGTGCCAGTCTTATTGTCAAGCTACAACCTGTCAGCGGCCGCGGCAAGAACGGCGCGCTCACCGTGCTGCAGCGCGCCGTGCGCCCGCAACTCATCACGTCCTTCAACCTGCCCGGTACGTGCCAGTCTTATTGTCAAGCTACAACCTGTCAGCGGCCGCGGCAAGAACGGCGCGCTCACCGTGCTGCAGCGCGCCGTGCGCCCGCAACTCATCACGTCCTTCAACCTGCCCGGTACGTGCCAGTCTTATTGTCAAGCTACAACCTGTCAGCGGGCGCGGCAAGAACGGCGCGCTCACCGTGCTGCAGCGCGCCGTGCGCCCGCAACTCATCACGTCCTTCAACCTGCCCGGTACGTGCCAGTCTTATTGTCAAGCTACAACCTGTCAGCGGCCGCGGCAAGAACGGCGCGCTCACCGTGCTGCAGCGCGCCGTGCGCCCGCAACTCATCACGTCCTTCAACCTGCCCGGTACGTGCCAGTCTTATTGTCAAGCTACAACCTGTCAGCGGCCGCGGCAAGAACGGCGCGCTCACCGTGCTGCAGCGCGCCGTGCGCCCGCAACTCATCACGTCCTTCAACCTGCCCGGTACGTGCCAGTCTTATTGTCAAGCTACAACCTGTCAGCGGCCGCGGCAAGAACGGCGCGCTCACCGTGCTGCAGCGCGCCGTGCGCCCGCAACTCATCACGTCCTTCAACCTGCCCGGTACGTGCCAGTCTTATTGTCAAGCTACAACCTGTCAGCGGGCGCGGCAAGAACGGCGCGCTCACCGTGCTGCAGCGCGCCGTGCGCCCGCAACTCATCACGTCCTTCAACCTGCCCGGTACGTGCCAGTCTTATTGTCAAGCTACAACCTGTCAGCGGCCGCGGCAAGAACGGCGCGCTCACCGTGCTGCAGCGCGCCGTGCGCCCGCAACTCATCACGTCCTTCAACCTGCCCGGTACGTGCCAGTCTTATTGTCAAGCTACAACCTGTCAGCGGCCGCGGCAAGAACGGCGCGCTCACCGTGCTGCAGCGCGCCGTGCGCCCGCAACTCATCACGTCCTTCAACCTGCCCGGTACGTGCCAGTCTTATTGTCAAGCTACAACCTGTCAGCGGGCGCGGCAAGAACGGCGCGCTCACCGTGCTGCAGCGCGCCGTGCGCCCGCAACTCATCACGTCCTTCAACCTGCCCGGTACGTGCCAGTCTTATTGTCAAGCTACAACCTGTCAGCGGCCGCGGCAAGAACGGCGCGCTCACCGTGCTGCAGCGCGCCGTGCGCCCGCAACTCATCACGTCCTTCAACCTGCCCGGTACGTGCCAGTCTTATTGTCAAGCTACAACCTGTCAGCGGCCGCGGCAAGAACGGCGCGCTCACCGTGCTGCAGCGCGCCGTGCGCCCGCAACTCATCACGTCCTTCAACCTGCCCGGTACGTGCCAGTCTTATTGTCAAGCTACAACCTGTCAGCGGCCGCGGCAAGAACGGCGCGCTCACCGTGCTGCAGCGCGCCGTGCGCCCGCAACTCATCACGTCCTTCAACCTGCCCGGTACGTGCCAGTCTTATTGTCAAGCTACAACCTGTCAGCGGGCGCGGCAAGAACGGCGCGCTCACCGTGCTGCAGCGCGCCGTGCGCCCGCAACTCATCACGTCCTTCAACCTGCCCGGTACGTGCCAGTCTTATAGTCCTTGCTATGCCCGACAGGGTACACAATGATCTATATTATTCTATGTTATCACCTGTAAAACATGGTAGGACGCAATAAAGAATTTGAATTTGAATAAATTCAAGTGGATAAGTGTCATATTTCAATCAAATAAATGTCCCCAGATTTAACATTTTTGTACTATTTTGTACTTATCATTAGATACGCTATAATTAATGAATTATTCCCCCAGGTTGTATAGACATGTGGTCTATCCTGGGAGAGACCCCGGAGGGCGCGCGCGAGTCGGAGGGTGCGCACGCGTACCTTATACTCACGCAGGAGGACGGGAGCATGGTACTGCAGACAGGTAAGACAAACAAATACTGGTTTTTACACTGTAATTGTGCAATACACTTTGAACAAAGTTATTTTAACTGCGTCTGTACAACGAGAGAATATATCGTCGAAAGTATTTAATGTTGTGAGAAAAGAATAAATACGTGTCTAATGTTTTAAATTCATCTCCCAGACGGACATTAAAATAAAATTTAAGAAACTACTCTATTGCAGTCAGCCTTTTTACAAAAAATAAATTCATTGTTTAATTTCCCACACAGGTCAGGAGATCAATGAGGTGGACAGTTCTGAGTTCATGACGGGTTCCCCAACAATATTCGCGGGCAACCTCGGGAACAACAAGTTTATGGTACAAGTCACTACGACTTCCATACGACTTGTTAAAGGCAAGTATTTCCAGACAGACTATCCTTACATTGCGAGATAAAAACATGCAAAAAGTCCCTTGTATTGCCTTCCGCTTTCTTTGTAAATTGAGCCTCTCTACACAGTTTTGCTTATAATATTTATCATTGCTTGGTCCCCTCAGGCGGCAGTCAGCTCCAGACGATCCAGTTGGAGTGGACGGCCGCGTACGCCGGCGTCGCGGACCCCTACCTCTGTGTACTGTCTCTCTGTGGCCGGGCCATCGTCCTCGCACTCAGGGAGTTCCGGGGGAAGGACGGCAGCGTGAGTAGACATACATACATTCTGTAACGTACCAATGTCTCTGTGGCCGGGCCATCGTCCTCGCACTCAGGAGTTTCGGGGGAAGGACGGCAGCGTGAGTAGACATACATACATTCTGTAACGTACCAATGTCTCTGTGGCCGGGCCATCGTCCTCGCACTCAGGGAGTTCCGGGGGAAGGACGGCAGCGTGAGTAGACATACATACATTCTGTAACGTACCAATGTCTCTGTGGCCGGGCCATCGTCCTCGCACTCAGGGAGTTCCGGGGGAAGGACGGCAGCGTGAGTAGACATACATACATTCTGTAACGTACCAATGTCTCTGTGGCCGGGCCATCGTCCTCGCACTCAGAGAGTTCCGTGGGAAGGACGGCAGCGTGAGTAGACATACATACATTCTGTAACGTACCAATGTCTCTGTGGCCGGGCCATCGTCCTCGCACTCAGGGAGTTCCGGGGAAGGACGGCAGCGTGAGTAGACATACATACATTCTGTAACGTACCAATGTCTCTGTGGCCGGGCCATCGTCCTCGCACTCAGGGAGTTCCGGGGGAAGGACGGCAGCGTGAGTAGACATACATACATTCTGTAACGTACCAATGTCTCTGTGGCCGGGCCATCGTCCTCGCACTCAGGGAGTTCCGGGGGAAGGACGGCAGCGTGAGTAGACATACATACATTCTGTAACGTACCAATGTCTCTGTGGCCGGGCCATCGTCCTCGCACTCAGAGAGTTCCGTGGGAAGGACGGCAGCGTGAGTAGACATACATACATTCTGTAACGTACCAATGTCTCTGTGGCCGGGCCATCGTCCTCGCACTCAGGGAGTTCCGGGGGAAGGACGGCAGCGTGAGTAGACATACATACATTCTGTAACGTACCAATGTCTCTGTGGCCGGGCCATCGTCCTCGCACTCAGAGAGTTCCGTGGGAAGGACGGCAGCGTGAGTAGACATACATACATTCTGTAACGTACCAATGTCTCTGTGGCCGGGCCATCGTCCTCGCACTCAGGGAGTTCCGTGGGAAGGACGGCAGCGTGAGTAGACATACATACATTCTGTAACGTACCAATGTCTCTGTGGCCGGGCCATCGTCCTCGCACTCAGGGAGTTCCGTGGGAAGGACGGCAGCGTGAGTAGACATACATACATTCTGTAACGTACCAATGTCTCTGTGGCCGGGCCATCGTCCTCGCACTCAGGGAGTTCCGGGGAAGGACGGCAGCGTGAGTAGACATACATACATTCTGTAACGTACCAATGTCTCTGTGGCCGGGCCATCGTCCTCGCACTCAGAGAGTTCCGTGGGAAGGACGGCAGCGTGAGTAGACATACATACATTCTGTAACGTACCAATGTCTCTGTGGCCGGGCCATCGTCCTCGCACTCAGGGAGTTCCGTGGGAAGGACGGCAGCGTGAGTAGACATACATACATTCTGTAACGTACCAATGTCTCTGTGGCCGGGCCATCGTCCTCGCACTCAGGGAGTTCCGTGGGAAGGACGGCAGCGTGAGTAGACATACATACATTCTGTAACGTACCAATGTCTCTGTGGCCGGGCCATCGTCCTCGCACTCAGGGAGTTCCGTGGGAAGGACGGCAGCGTGAGTAGACATACATACATTCTGTAACGTACCAATGTCTCTGTGGCCGGGCCATCGTCCTCGCACTCAGGGAGTTCCGTGGGAAGGACGGCAGCGTGAGTAGACATACATACATTCTGTAACGTACCAATGTCTCTGTGGCCGGGCCATCGTCCTCGCACTCAGGGAGTTCCGGGGGAAGGACGGCAGCGTGAGTAGACATACATACATTCTGTAACGTACCAATGTCTCTGTGGCCGGGCCATCGTCCTCGCGCTCAGGGAGTTCCGGGGGAAGGACGGCAGCGTGAGTAGACATACATACATTCTGTAACGTACCAATGTCTCTGTGGCCGGGCCATCGTCCTCGCACTCAGGGAGTTCCGGGGGAAGGACGGCAGCGTGAGTAGACATACATACATTCTGTAACGTACCAATGTCTCTGTGGCCGGGCCATCGTCCTCGCACTCAGGGAGTTCCGGGGGAAGGACGGCAGCGTGAGTAGACATACATACATTCTGTAACGTACCAATGTCTCTGTGGCCGGGCCATCGTCCTCGCACTCAGGGAGTTCCGGGGAAGGACGGCAGCGTGAGTAGACATACATACATTCTGTAACGTACCAATGTCTCTGTGGCCGGGCCATCGTCCTCGCACTCAGGGAGTTCCGTGGGAAGGACGGCAGCGTGAGTAGACATACATACATTCTGTAACGTACCAATGTCTCTGTGGCCGGGCCATCGTCCTCGCACTCAGGGAGTTCCGGGGGAAGGACGGCAGCGTGAGTAGACATACATACATTCTGTAACGTACCAATGTCTCTGTGGCCGGGCCATCGTCCTCGCACTCAGGGAGTTCCGGGGGAAGGACGGCAATTAATCTTTAATGTTATGATCATAATGAACTATAATACTTTGTAAGTTATCTATAAAACTACTATATTAATTAATGGATAACGTAAACCTAATAATATTTGAAAATTTATATCACAAAATATATCTTACAGCAAATCATTATGAATGTTATCGAATAAAAAATATTCCGGCGTTTGTATATGAAAATTATGGTATGTTTCAGTCGTCAGGTCGTCTGGCCCCGACCCGTCAATCAGTGCCTCACAGACCGCCATTACTGCGTGCGACAGTATACAGAGACCTTAGCGGACTGTTCACTCCACCTGATGCAGGGAATGCGCAGGTAAGCGCTTACATAATAATTTAATGTAAATATTTTTTTAATGGAAAGAAATATTTATAGAAGAGATATTTCGACGACATAACGATTTAAAATATCGCTTGACGTCACTTATAGGTACATTTTATGCTTAGAAATTACGTAACCAGCGTCTATTCCTAAAGTTTATTTTTACGATATTTTAAGAACAGTATACATTTTAAACGTAAGTATTATTGCAGGTTAAAGGTGAGTTCAGTGGTAAGATGAAAGGTAAAAACGTGAAAGCAGAAGGATTCAAGCCTGGCGCAGTGTATGAACTTAATGATGAAGACGAACTATTGTATGGAGGGGACCAGACACCTGCGTCAATGGCTAGCGTGAGTATACTTTATTCCTATTATCTATACTCCTATTCTAAACTGCTAAAGAGTGGAATTATTTGACAGGCTCTGGGTCTGTATTTCCTGAAGGGTAGAACCTGGGTGTCTTCAAGGCCCGAGTGAATAGGTTGCTTATGGGACGACGTGCTCCATCGTAGACCGCATCATTGCATACCACCAGGCGAGATAGTGGTCAAACGTCGGCCCATCAAATATAAAAAAAATATATTAAAAATTTAAAAAAAAGAAGTTGTATCCATATTCCACTTCACATACATATATTCATACATACTTCCATACATTGCAAGTTAAATAGAAGCTTGTAAATAGTGTTTATTTGTACACAAAAGGCCCCGAAACTACTGAACATATTTTAACAGTTTTGGCAATAATTTAAGCCGGATCAAATGAACGTTGGCCTATGGACTAGAAGAAAAACATGTTTAATTAATTGACGATTTCATTTGATATATCCATATTAAAAGCGTAATTTAAGTTTCTTTTTAATTATTAATTATTGTGTTTTTCGACTTATTCAAGTAATTATTTGACGAGGAACACGACTAGTTTCAAGCCATGCTAGAGGCTTATAGTCATGAGCAGCATTCCACCGCTGACTGTCGGTGCTACTGGCTACTCGAGCCTGCGGGGCGGGCCCAGCGCGCCCTCTGCCGGGATTCACCTTTATTTAAATATGAAATGTTGTAATACAAATATGAAATTATTCTTTTCTTAGATTATGTTAGCAGAACAATCAAAGAACCCAGGAGTACCGCGTCGTATATCTCGGTGGTGGAAGAAATATCTGGTGGAAGTAAAGCCGACATATTGGCTATTCGTGCTCCGTCTGAATGGTAACCTGGAGATATACTCGTTGCCTGAGATGAGACTCAGCTTCCTTGTACGGGACGCTTGCGCCGGGAACAGGGTGAGTTTTTGGCAAAATAGTTGCGTTTTCAGTGGCGCTAGCGTCGCTTTAAGTCTTTTGATAGATGATGATATGTACGTGCATTCACTGAGTTTTATTGTTGTGGAGATGGAGAGTGCATTTTTTATGTACTGTCACGAATGTTGTAATATTTATTTACCGTTTATTGTATGTACTGTTTATTTGATTTAATCGTTTCATTTAAATAAGAATTCGATATTATTATATATTCTGCGGAGGATCTGGTGAGCACAAAATTAAAACAAAAGGTTCTTGGCTTAAAGCTAATATATGTATGTTTGTCCGCAATTATCTCGAGATTGACTTCACCAATTTTTTTTTATGGCATAAGCCTGTAAACGAGCAGACGGATCACCTGATGGTAAGCAATCGGCGTCGCCCATGGACACACGGAACACCAGAGGCGTTACAAGTGCGTTACCGGCTTTTTGGGGATTAGGAGTTTGAGGATCGTTGGGGATTCAGGGATTAGGAAGATTGGGGAAGGGGAGGGTAATTGAGTCTCCGGTAACCTCACTCATACGACGAAACACAACGCAAGCGTTGCTTCACATCGGTTTTCTGTGAGGCCGTGGTATCATTCCGGTCGAGCCGGCCCATTCGTGCCGAAGCATGGCTCTCCCACACTTTTGATGCAGTTTTCAGAAAACTATTTATTATTTCCCACAGATCCTAGCAGACAGTTTGGAATCGGTCCCCATACCCAGCGGAGGAATTGACGAGGAGGAATTGGGGGGCAGTGCGCAGAATGCGGATGCGGACAAATGTAGGGAACTGTTAGTTGTTGGGCTGGGACATAAAGGGGCACGGGTACTCATGTTGATGCGGTGTGAGGACCAACTCATGATATATCAGGTATGTAAGAGACATTCACATTAGTTTGTAACAGAATCTAAATAAAATAATTTCCGAATAAACTTAAAATCACGTAAATTTTTTTTCTTTTAAAAAAAAAAAACATTGCCCCACACTAGGATTTACTCCTGTGTCGTGGGTGCAGTTACAAACATACAAGTTCACATACACAATGACACCCAGACCCGGTACAACAATCTGTGGATCACACAAGGAGTTGTTCTGTGCGGGAATCCAACCCGCGACACGTTGCGCGGCAGTCAGTTGCCCAGCCACCGCGCCAACCGTGCAGTCTATTTCGTCATATCATCTAATCGTGCAGTAAAATGTTAGTGACCTTTTGAGCGCCGATGTCACATATAAGTGACAAGTGAAAACTGTCCCTGGACGCCAACGACACAAATACATGACAGAAAAAGCGGAACCGGAAACACGAAATCAACAATTTGATTCCCTATTGGAATCCCTATTTCTTCCGTAGAAATTTGCGCGGAATTTGTGGCTTGGCGTTGAGGGCAGGTTCATGTGTTTTTGCTCCGGCGTTCAAAAGGTTAAGGAATTTTAAAATATTTTAAGCAACTTTTTAGACCTTAAGTCCAGCAGTCACACTTGCGACCACTTGGCTGACGAGGCAGTCACCTAATTCTATTAACATAATACATCTGTTGCTGAATAAGCACAATTATTATTGTGAAATTAAGAACTAAGTAACTGACCGTATGGACTTTAGCCAAGTATATGTTTCTGCTGATGCATGTTAATTCCTCGGCAATAGTGATAGTTTTATTTCCGAACTGATTTATAATTATATTGTTTACGTATGTATATTTATTAGATATATTATGTTTGAATGTATGTATATTAAAATAATCATTATATATTATTTTCTATTGCATTCTGATAAATATTTGTGTTTATAGAAATAAGATGTGCTATTGTAAAAATTATATTTAGACCTCCTCTCGCCTGCGATACAGGATTGTCCTAGTGTAGGCATCTAACTATTTGAGGTAAATTGTACGTAATTTAGATATATTTTTGAATTTTGCGTTTTTGTTATTATGAATAAAGAATTATTATATTATATTTTATTATCTGTCTCCCCAGGCGTACAAGTACCCCCGCGGCAACCTGAAGCTCAGGTTCAGTCGCGTGCGAGTATCGTTTCCCTTCGGATACAGCTCGGAGCCACTGTCCTCGCCCGACGACTCGTACGAGACCGCGCTACTCAAGGAGAATGTTAGGCAGTGTCGATACTTCAGTAAGTTGTAGCAATAATAATAATAATGTGCTTTAATATTTAGATTTACCTCTATGAAGTAGGTTCTGTTCTTATCCCTACTCCTACCTATATGTATTCAAGAAGATTTGTTGAGTAATTAATAGAAAAATTGATAAACATTTTTGTTTTACTGTTTTTTTCTTTCGGAAAAAAAGCTTTCAAAAATATAGGTATCGAGTTTATACCACCTAAAACCTCGTCTGAGGATGCGGTTAATAAATAGAGATATGCAAAGCTTAAGTTTTTATGTCGATCCTTTTATGTTCTGTCTAAATTTCTATCTAAAGGAGAATGGCAGGTTTGTATGGAGGTTTTGTACCGCTATAAAATTTTGTATTTGTCATTGTTCTTACCAAGTAAATGATCTGAACGATAGATATTTTTATTATGAAGTTTAGAAAAAAATTACATATTTTTAGAACTTTGGGTTCAAAAGTTATTTCACTTTGAAAATGTGCAAAAGGTACGTAAAGGCGGTATTACACTTGCCATTGCGTATTCGCTTCATTTGTACAAATATTTGTGAACTACGTACTAATGGCGTCCAAATAGTATTTATAAATGTAAAAGCGTGCAAATATATGTATATAGCAAATTAAGACGAATAAACCCTCCACACATGGTCTGTTTTGGCCGAACACAACAAATACGCAACGTCAGACGTGAGACGTACTAAATTTATTATCATGTTTTCGGCTCTCTCACGTAATAGGCTAGTTTTCTAAATTTTATTTTAATGTCCGTCTGGTAGATTATTTTAAAACATTACACACGTATTTTTTCTTTTCTCATAAATATAAATGCTTTCGACGGTATATTGATTTGAAATGTCGTGTGACGTCACAGAGTGCTATAAAATGTAGCACGTTGTGACGTAACTACGTCCCACTCCTAAACTTAACTCCATTTTATCTAAGTATTGTAACTTTATAGGACAAAATAAACAAAAATACGTGTCTAATATTTTTTCATTATCTAACTGACGGACTAATTAGATTTTTAATTTTCTTACCCTGGAAACTACCCAATTGTTTACTGTGGCGGTCGCGGAATGCTGCTCATGAATATGAGTCTCTGGTATGGTTTGAAACAAGTCGAGTTCCTCGTCAAACAGTTACGTGATAAGCCGAAAACGTAATAATCAATTATCTTTCTTGAAATGTTGTATGGCATATTTCAGTTGGGGTCTTTTTATGGTATACGAGCAGACGGATGGTGAGCGATCGGCGTTGTCCATGGAAATCCGAAACAATTGAATCGTTACAAGTGCGTTATTGGCATTTTGGGCTTTAGGAATTTGAGGATTGTTAGGGATTCGGGGAATGGGGAGAGGGTAATTAGGCCTCCGGTAACCTCACTCACACGACGAAACACAACACTGGTTACACGTCACGTGGTTTGTTTCACGTCGATTTTCTGCTCGTTGGTGGTATCACTCCGGTCGAACTGGCCCAGCAGTGCCTGAAGCATGGCTATCCCACACTTTTTTTTTAATAGGGGAAAATTATCGAATGACTGCTCCCGCCTAGGTGAGGCGGGAAGGAGTGTCAGACTCTTACTGACTAAAATCCACCCCGTTCCTACTTATGATCTTCGAGCCGGAGCCCCGGTAACCCGTTAGGTTCTCCGCGGCTCCGTATCGGCTTCAGCCCTATTGGGTCCCCTCGTGGTGGTCTGATGGCTCTTTGAGGCGCGCGCCGAACGCTCGGCGCCGTACCCTCGGGTCTGTTTCTAGTCGGACAGCGAGCCACCCATGCTCGTCGTCCGCAGGCTCGCGCTTACGGTGGCCGGAGTGTCCTTCGCGATGGTTGGGTTGTGACGAGGCAGCGTTTTGCTGCCTCACGCGTCCCGCCTCCTTAGCTAGCATAACTGCTTTGTAAAAGGACGAGACGGCATCCCAGTTCCCTTCGCTCCGCATCCGCACTAGAGCCGGACGCGAGAAGTCGCCGTAGCCGCTGACGTCCCCAAGGGGACGGCGGTGCTCAGCTGACGCAGGGCATTCTCCAACTGTGTGTTCCACCGTGTCCTCCGGGCGGTCCCCGCCGTGATGACACTCGCGTTTCCTCCCGCCCCATCACAACAGGTACCTCCCGAAGCTCCCATGTCCGGTCTGTCTCTTCCACAGTGTAGCGTCTGGCTCTTCCACAATACGATGGTGAATATTTATATATTAATGTTGCGTGCAGGTAACGTGGGCGGGTACAACGGAGTGTTCGTGTGCGGGCGCACGCCTCATATAATACTAGTGTCCGCGCGCGGCGAGGTGCGCGTGCACGCGCTGGCGCACGACCACGCGCCCGTGGCCAGCTTCGCGCCCTTCCACAACACCAACTGTCCGCAGGGCTTCCTGTACTTCAACGCCAAGGTACTGTCTTACTATTGGTACTGATTGCTATGGATCCTGGTCTCATATAATACTAGTGTCCGCGCGCGGCGAGGTGCGCGTGCACGCGCTGGCGCACGACCACGCGCCCGTGGCCAGCTTCGCGCCCTTCCACAACACCAACTGTCCGCAGGGCTTCCTGTACTTCAACGCCAAGGTACTGTCTTACTATTGGTACTGATTGCTATGGATCCTGGTCTCATATAATACTACTACATGTAATTGCAATATAACACTAGTTACATAACATCACGCCTTTTATCCCCGAAGGGATAAATAGAGGTGCACATTACGACACTCAATGCCGCTGTATAATGTAATACCCACTTTCCATTCTATTATTGATATTCTATTATTCTACTCCATTGATATTTTGTTTAAAAATACTTAGCCCAACCCGGGAATCAAACCCGAGACTTCTTGCTCGTTAGTCGCACTTGCAACCATTCAGCCAACGAGACAGTCAGTAACCCTAATTCTATGTCTTTTAATATAAAATAATGATTCCATACAAATCTCTTGTCGTGATTTTTTCTGAATTACTTCGCATAATCCGAAAGTTATTGTTTCAAATTTGATTTTTTTTATGGTATAAGCCAGTAAACAAGCAGACGGATCACCTGATGGTAAGCAATCGTCGCCGCTCATGGACATCTGAAACACCGAGGCGTTTCAAATGCGTTACCGGCCTTTTGGGAATTGGGAATTTGAGGATTGTGGTGTATGTGTTTCATTAATCCATATCACAGAAATAACTCACTTTAAAAAAAACAAACCACATACTCTCTATTCATTGACTAGTCAAAATTAACAATTTAAAATAACAAAAAGTCCAATAGAATTAAATTTCGGTTTGAGCAGCAGAAACAATCTGCTAAGATTCCCCATGTAACATATGTGTTAAAGTTATTCAATAAAATACAGTTTTCGTGGTATCTCTTATTGAACAAGACAGTGGGTCGGCTTACGAGGGATTTGGAGAACTGTTACTTCACTTTTTATTCACTTCCTTTTTCCCGCTAATGGCGCTGGTTACATTCGACAACGTCACATTTGACGAGGAACCGAAACAAATTGATGTAACGACACCATAGCGCGATATTAACACCATATTCGATATTAACACCATATATCGAGCGACGCGACAACTCTGATTAATAATAATTTAATTATTATTAAATTTTGATCGCGCTATGATCCCGTTACCGCTCCGGACACTCATTTATCATTTTTATATTTACATACTAGCGGACCCAACAGACGTTGTCCTGCATATCCACTTGAATGTATAAACAAAAAATCATTCAAATTAGTTCAGCCGTTTAGGATAAATAACCTAACCGACCTTATCGTTCGCTTGATAAAATTGACGTGTAAAAGTGCTGCCTTGTAGCCTATTTGCAGAAATAAATTCACTTGTTTCACATGTAAAAAAACTTAGACTGCAGCGCCATCTGCCGGGCTGATTTGTGAATCTAAACCATTCCCAGATCCCCTTGAACACACACAAAAAATTTCATCAAAATCGGAAATTTCATCAAAATCGGTCCACTCGTTTGAGAAAAGTTCAGTGACATGCACACTCACTGAAGAAATATATATTATGTAAAGATTTGGGGAATACAATACATGTTCTGTGGTTGGAAGTAACGAGCGCCCTCGTTCCAGTCGTCGCTGCGCATCAGTGCGCTGGCGACGCACCTGTCGTACGACGCGGCGTGGCCGGTGCGCAAGGTCCCGCTCCGCGCCACGCCGCACTTCGTCACGTTCCACGTCGAGTCGCGCACCTACTGCCTCGTCGCCTCCACCAGCGCGCCCACGCAGGCCTACTACAAGTTCAACGGAGAGGACAAGGAGAAGACCAGCGACAACAAGGGGGACAGGTGACTCGATTTCTGACTTACTTTTAGTAACAATAATGTCAAATGTTAAATGACAGCTTACGCACATAGATAAAAACAAATCAACGGATGACATCACGAAATCCTACATCGCACATGTAAAGTTTACATGCGAATTAATACGGATAGAAAATTCTGACGAACAACTGTTGGGCAGAAAGTCCGCCCGGCACGAACACCTCGCCTGGTCGGAGGATCCTCCTTTTCCAATCTTAGGGATCTTTACTCTCTGTTCTCTGCAAAAGTTTATTTATAACACGCTTTTATAAGATCGGCCCATTTAAAATATGTAATTTAACTTATATTTATTTAAAACTAGCTTCTGCCCGCGACTTCGTACGCGCAATTCCGTTTTCTCCTGTTCCCATAATATTTTCAGGATTTTTTTTCTATCATAAGAACCTTCTCTTGACAATAACAAACACAACAAAAAAAAAATCAGCCGAATCGGTCTAACCATTCTCACATTATGGCGTGACAACGGGAAACGAGTTTCATTTTTATATATATAGAAGCGCATTTATCAAGGATGACTATAGGCTATAAAACATCACGTTACGACCAAAAGGAGCTGAGCAGAGCGTGTGAAACCGCGCGGAAGTAGCTAGTAAAAAGATAATTTTGAACATGAAATCTCGAAACTGAACTCAATTAAACAAATTTGATATAGATTTTCAATAAATTACACAAATATGTTCCAGATTCCCCTACCCACACCAGGATAAGTTCTTCGTGACCCTGTTCTCCCCGGTATCCTGGGAGATCATCCCCAACACTCGCATCGAGCTGGACGACTGGGAACATGTCACCTGTCTGAAGAACGTCTCCCTGTCTTATGAGGGGACCAGGTCAGTATTACATGGAGGAGGAGAATATATTTTAGCGGCCCTACTCTACCCGCTGGTGTCGTATCCCATAAAAAATACAAGGTGTAGTTTTGAAACCGTGGCATTTCTCGGGGGCATGTCACAGAAGTCATAAAGATTCAATGTAAGAGAAATTTTCGGGCCAATACTTAAAAATACGGCTATAATAAATCGTTTAAGTTCGACAGTATTTCAGAATAAGCCACAGCAATGTTTTTTATTAGAGTTTTATGGAATTAGGAATAATATCAATTACGTGTTTGAGTTTGTGTGTGTTAAGCCGCGTTACAAAACTAGTTACAAGACCGCGGCGCGTAGTTCGCACTTATGTATTTCCGTAATTTACAGAAAATTGAAAAATATTTACCTACAATTTTTTTTTTATTGATTCGGACTCAGAATCGATAGCCGAGTTACCTCCTAGAAAATGACGCGGCTTTAAAACAACACCTTGTATATATAATATAAAAAATGTATTCTTATCAATAGAAGTTTTTTAAACTTTAATCTATAAGACATTTGAGACATCAAACATTGAATTGTCCGTCCGTCTGTCTGTCAGTGAAGCTAGGCGCTCGTTCCAAAGTGTAAATCGAATGTAGATGATTAAACAATGAACTACATCGTTACTCTTTAAAAAAATGGTTTTTACAGTCTCATAACATAACATCACGCCTTTTATCCCCGAAGGGGTAGGCAGAGGTGCACATTATACCACTGTACAATGTAACACCCAATTTTCACTATTTATGTTATGAGTCCCATGTAATAGGGGTTAGCCTATTGCCATATACCGGGCACAATTCCAAACTCCGTGCTACTAGGTACTGAGAATATTTAAAATCCAGTAATACTTTGCCCGACCCGGGAATCGAACCCGAGACCCCTTGCCCGGCAATCGCACTTACGACCACTCGGCCAACGAGGCAATCTATGAATGATACAATTTCTGTAAAAATTTTTTTACAGTCTCATTGATACATTATCTGAATAGTTACGTGAGTAAACCGTAATTTGATACTTTTTGTTACAGATCTGGTCTTCGAGGTTACATAGCAATAGGAACTAACTATAATTATAGTGAAGACATTACGTCTAGAGGGAGGGTAAGTTGTCATTACAACTATAATTAATTTACCAATTACGGGATTGATTGAATAGTCACGTGACGTCACTTCTAAGCATAGTTTTTGATTAGGCGTGGCGTAGTGAGCTCAAGTTACTAAACTAACCTATTGATTTATCCAAAAATTGGAACGATACAGAGAAGATTAGCCTGGCCCCTGCGCAAGGATGACACGCAAAATCGTGAAGCGTCCCACATTTTTTTATTTACAGATCTGGAAACTATTACTCTTAAGAGTCACTATGTAGTATAAAACAAAGTAGCTTAGATCTAGAACAGTAGTAGCACGGAGTCAGGAATTGTGCCCGGTATATGGCAATAGGCTCACCCCCTACTACATGGGACTCATAACATAATTAGTGAAAAGTGAGTGTTACATTGTACAGTGGCATAATGTGCACCTCTGCCTACCCCTTCGGGGTTAAAGGCGTGACGTTATGTATGTATGTGATTTATCTAAGTACATATTGTTCTCTTATCGGGGCCGTTTAAGTATTACGTAAGCACCATGGGAGGGGGTCTCTGTTTTGCTTATTTTGGATGATATAGAGGAGTCTAGATAAACGAAAGAACGAGTCAAGATAAACGAAGAAGACATTATGGTATGTGTATTTAAAATGTTTATTAGACCAGGAAGACACTTTTGAACGTCAACAAAAATATTGAAATATTAAAATAGATGTCAGTCTGTCGGTCAGTCCTCCAGTGAAGCTTGCTCGTTCCTAAGTGTAGATTCCTATGGAGAAGAACGAGCAAGAAACTCCATAGGTTACTTGTCGTCGTCTCAATTGCTCAACATTATTCCTAGATTGTTCATTCCTTATCCAATAAAATGTATGTTTATTCCTCAGATAATAATCTACGACATCATAGACGTGGTCCCCGAGCCAGGCCAGCCCCTGACGAAGAACAGGTTCAAGGAACTGTACGCCAAGGAACAGAAGGGACCTGTCACTGCACTCACACAGGTGCTCGGGTATCTTATATCCGCTGTAGGACAGAAGGTATGTTGATATAGTTACTTTATCTAAAGCTATTAGTTATCGTTGGTGGATTTAGAATGTTATTCAAAAAAAGGTACACCACAGACACATGAAGAATATCATAATACTCTGCATGTTTTCGACGATGATGATGAACCTAACCTTTAAGTGTGGGAGAGTCATGCTTCGGCACGAATGGGCTGGCTCGACCGGAGTGATGCTACCAACGAGCACAAAACCGACGTGAAGTAACGCTTGCGTTGTGTTTCGTCGTGTGAGTGAGGTTACCGGCTGCCCAATTACCCTCCCCTTCCCCAATCTCCCCAATCCCTGAATCCCCAACAATCCTCAAACTCCTAATCCCCAAAAAGACGGTAACGCACTTGTAACGCCTCTGGTGTTCCAGGTGTCCATGGGCGACGCCGACTGCTTACCATCAGGTGATCCGTCTGCTCGTTTACCGGCTTATGCCATAAAAAAAATATAATAATTTCCCCCCACAGATCTACATATGGCAACTGAAAGACAACGACCTGGTGGGCGTGGCGTTCATAGACACGCAGATATACGTCCACAAGATGTTGTCGGTGAAGAACTTGGTGCTAGTGGCCGACGTGTACAAGTCCATCTCGCTACTCCGCTACCAGGCGCAGCATAGGACACTGTCTCTTGTGTCTAGAGATCTTAGGAGTGCTCAGGTAAGATAAATATACACTAATTTATCTCTAAAAGGAGGTAACCCAAAGTACTATACGGGTCAATGCTTTTTATTTGATTTTCGATTTTATATCAAAATGATAAAGTTCTAAATCTAAAGGAATCCTTACTAATATTATATATCAGAAAGTGAGTTTGTTTGTTTGTTTGTTTGTTCCGCTTTCACGCCGTAACTACTAATCCGATTGCTTTGAATTTGTGCAGACGTAAAGTTTGAAGTCCGGATTAAATGATAGGTTACTTTTTATCCCAGAAAAATGTGATATTCCTGAGGGAAAACAAAAGTATTGGTATATATGACGCTGTGTGTATTGGTATATGTCACATAGGCTACTTTTTATCCTTTTGTGACGCGAGCAAAGCCGCGGGTAAAAGCTAGTATATAATAATTTAGCTCTAAAAGGAGGTAACCCAAAGTACTATACGGGTCAATGCTTTTGATTTTCGATTTTATATCAAAATGATAAAGTTCTAAATCTAAATGAGTACGTAAACTGGGGTACACATTAAACAATGAGAAACCAGTATAAACTGACCGTTGAATGTACGGATAGATCATACAAGGCGAGACTAAGATAAATTGTTTTTACAGGTATATAACCTGTAAATGTATGTACAACAAAAATAATTGGGTAGTTTCCTGGGCCAAAAATAAATTATTTAGATTTTTCAGTCCAATTAAATATTGAAAAATAGTTACACTTTTATTAATTGACTTGCCGATATACTTAATTTTCGATTCATTCTCGCATTTTCTTTAGATACAAGTGTGCTGTTTGACGCGAAAATATGATGACGTCATAAGCTAGTATTTCGTACAAAATTCATAGAACAGTATCGTTTTTGACGTTTCGATAAAAGTATTGATTTTGACTAGTTGTCAACTACCGTATTATGTTTTCCTCTTTGAATTTGCCATGTTAAGTCACTGCTTCAGTTCTTCTTATTATTTTTTCTTTTATTATTTTGTCTAAATATCTTTTTCTTAGTTTGTTTGTCTTTCTTCGTTTTCTTATCTTCTTAAAAAGCTTTTCGATAACACATCGACTAATAGAAATATGAGTCCCGGTGTGACTCGAAATGGTAGAGCTTTTCTTTCTTTCGTATATTTCAATTAACCCATACATCCTCAAGTGGTCACCGCTCTCAACTAACTACATTATAGACCTTATTTCCAATGTTTAGAGACTACTTTTGTATGAACAAATTTAGGGGATGATTTTCAACGGGTTAACCTCTAGAATGTCAATATATGAGACACAATAGAACACACATTGTGTCTGGAGTTAATTTATTCAGGTTGTATCTCCAACGTATTGCTTTTTTGTTATAGATATACGACATGGAGTTTATGGTGGACAATACAACGCTTGGGTTCCTAGTGAGCGAGGCTGAAGGCAATCTCGCACTGTTCATGTACCAGCCACAGGCTAGGGAGAGCTACGGAGGTAATTTTTTCTTTTTTTTATATATAGAAACGTGGCCCCACATTAGGATTTACTCCTGTGTCGTGAGTACATTTACAAACATAAGTTCACATCATACACATCACACCCAGCCCCGTTGCTCCGTGCGGGAATGAACCCGCGACACGTTGTGCGGCAGCCGGTTGCCCAGCCAGCAACCGAAGTCGGTTAAAAATGTTAGTGGCCCCGTTTCGTTGCACCCAAGTGTATAATTTTGACACAATTTGTATAAAACTCGTATTCAAATGATATCTCTAGTAGAAATAATTATGTATGTTTGTATGCGAATATCTCGCGGTTAGCTGAACCAAGATTGATGCAGGTTTCAAAGTGTTTGTTACACTTAAAATAAGGTTTAAGTTTAGTATAATAATTAACCGACTTCCAAAAGGAGGGGTTTGAAGTTGGTTTTAGACGCAGTTTATAAAAGAATATTAATATTATTTATATATATTTTCTTCTTAATTTCTTGATAAATATTTTTAGATAAATGTATTTAAATAATTGGTAATGTATGTCGTATAAAAGGTAGATTTCAGAATTTAAAATGTGAGAGCATATTGTAGTAAAAGGTTTTTTTAGTAAAAAATGATATTTTATGTACTTTCTAAGATAGACACCACTGGCCACTGGCAAACGGTAAACGAAAACATCGTGAGGAAACCTGGGCTTAGAATTATTAAATATAAGTTTGTAATCGCCAACCCGCATTGAGCAAGCGTGGTGATTAATGCTCAAACCTTTTCCGTGAGAGAAAAGACTTTGCTCAGCAGTGGGTACTTATAGGCTGTTAAAGAATAATAAATAATACTTTAAGAATAATAAATGTATGCTATGACTAATACATGTATGTATAATATGACTAATAAATGTATGTTTAATCTGTCAAACACCAAGCGGTCACCGGTGACCGCGACCTATTGTTCTTTAATTGTGTCTATAAAACCGGTACTCGACGAGTTAAGAATAATAAATGTATGATATCCACACAGACTAACAAACCTTTTGTTTTGCCCCCCAGGCCAGCGTTTGATCCGCAAGAGTGACTACCACCTGGGCCAACAAGTCAACGCCATGTTCCGCATCAACGCGCGCCCCGACCCCAGCTCCACTCACAGGAGACATGTCACCATGTTCAGTCAGTACTATACACTTTATTTTGACGTGGGAAACCTTCAAAAGGCGCCTAGCTTTTTGGGCATAAAATACTAGGGAATGTGGGATTTTTACCTCACTAAAACCTCACCGGTGGCCACTATCCGCACTTGAAGGAGGCATCGGGTCCTCTTAGTAGATCAACCTCAGTGAATAATACATCTAAGAAGGGTGCAATGATATTTATTTTCGTGTAATAACGACCTAAAGACTGCAAGGGAAGGGCAAGGGATTCGATTCCCGTGTCGGGTAAAGTATTACTGCGTTTTTTTAAATAAAATCTCAGTAGTAGCATGGCATCTGAAATTGTGCCCGGTATGTGGCAATAGACTCACCCCCTTTTACATGGGACTCATAATATAAATAGTGGAAAGTGAGTGTTACATTGTACAGTGGCATTAAGTGCTGTAATGTGTACCTCTGGCTACCTTCGGCGATAAAAGGCGTGATGTAATGTTATATTAGCTTACATTAGGATTAATATAGATTGAATTGCCTTGCTAACAATATTCCCTCCCCCCCCAGCGACCCTGGACGGCGGCGTGGGCTACGTGCTGCCAATAACGGAGAAGATGTACCGGCGACTACTCATGCTGCAGAACGTCATGAACAACTACTGCTGCCACGTCGCGGGACTCAACCCCAGGGCGTACAGGTACACTGCATCATCGCAAATAAACATAAATAAAATGTTTATTTGGTGTAAAAAGTCAGAGTGCAAAATGAATCTTACTATCTAAACAAAGTCTAAAATTTATATGTAAAACCTGAACTAGGCTAACTACTAAGCCTGTGTTTCAAGTTAAAAAGGTGCTGAAATATTTAAAATACAATAGCATTGCTTATAGAACAAAACATTTTATGACAAATTAATGTCCAAATAGGCGACATTTATCAGATCTTTACCAGTTACTTAGGGGAACCTAGAATCCCATTGTGAACCTGATTGAAAAAGAGTAACCTATGGAGGTTCTTGCTTGTCCTTCTTAATAGGAATCTACACTTTGAAACGAGCACAGAACCCCACTCGAGGACTGACCGACAGACTAACCCTATCTTATAAGATTGACTTTCAAAAATGAAAGACTTATTGAAATTAATGATTTGACTTTGTCACAGGCAGAGGTTAATGCGTGTTAGTCGTATTAAGCTCTTAAATATTCTTCCTACCTTTAGCTCGAAGGTGTAATGTGGCAATTAAGTTTTTCGGTTATACTTCACCATGATTATTGTTCACTATGAAAGTCTACAATAGGGTAGATGACTAATTTTTATTTTAATGTCCGTCTGGTAGATTATTTTAAATCATTACACACGTATTTTTTATCTTCTTACAGAAACGAATAATTTCGACGATGTATTGATTTGAAACGTCGCGTGATGTCACTTCTATGTACATTTTTTGCGAAGAAATGACGTTTTAGCCCCCACTCCTAAACTTTGATTTTTTATATCTAAGTATCATTTTGTGTAATATTTTTTTATTACCAAAATACGTGTCTAATATTTTTTTATTACCTAACTGACGGATTAATTAGATTTTGAATTTTCATACCCTGTCGTCATCCCTATTGTATACGCTGTGTTTCCCCAGGACGTACAAGAGCTCGCGCCGCTCGGTGGGCGGCGGGCCGGCGCGCGGCGTGCTGGACGGAGACCTCGTCGCGCTCTACACCACCATGCCCAACGCGGAGAAACTTGATGTGAGTGGCGATAACATATATTTTAATTACTTTTACTGTTTTTTTATTCATTGTAGGTACACGTCATTTAACGCAAATGAATTTCCTTTTTATACTAGCTTATATTCAGAAACAAATTAGGGCTGGCTAGGTTTGACTGCCACTGCTTATATAATTTCTCCAATAAAAATGGCAACCCACCTGATTAGAACCAAGTAACCACCATAAAAAATATCTACATTTTAATAATAATAATAGGTAATAATTAATTTTATTTCAGACTTAGTCCATATTTGTAACAATGTTCTTAACCTATGCCGGAATACTGAAACGTTACTCAATTTTAAGTCGTGCTTAAATATCGTGCCATCTCTGTCATTTTACAAAGAATTTGTGGAGACAGAACTTATGCTGATGCTTAAGCGCGACTTGAAATTGAGTAACGTTTGAGTATTCCGACAATAGTGTTAGTAAAAATACACACAACAATGAGAAATAATAATTATATACAAATAAATAAATGAGTAATTAGTTAGTAACAATATTCTTAGCCTAGGCTTAGTAAGATACATAAATTAGATATAATTTAGATATAATTTATGTATCTTACTAAGATTATTTTTTAAAAGCGTTGCCCCACACTAGGATTATCTCCTGTGCCGTGGGTGCGTTTACAAACATACAAGTTCACATACACAATGACAACGAGACCCGAAACAACAATATGTGGATCATACAAAGTGTTGTTCCGTGCGGGAATCGAACCCTCCCACGTTGTACGGCAGCCGGTTGCCCAGCCACCGCGCCAACCGTGAAGTCGATTAAACTTAGATTAACTCGTCGAGTACCGGTTTTATAGACACAATTAAAGAACAATAGGTCGCGGTCACCGGTGACCGCTTGGTGTTTGACAGTTTAAAGCCCGGGTCAGTTCACTATTAGACTATGTGCTTTCTCTACATAGAAAGGCTTGCCGCAGCCTCCACGCTGTCGCGGAGAACCTAACGGGTAACCGGGGCTCCGGCCCGACGTGCAGGAGAAGGAACGGGGTGGTTTTTAGTCAGTAAGAGTCTGACACTCCCTCCCGCCTCACCCGGGCGGGAGCAAACATTCGATGATTTCCCCCCCTTAAAAAAAAGCCTCCACGCTGGTGACCAACCTCTAGTAACAAATGTACATATAATGTAATGCTCCCATCTTGTTACAGATTGCAAAGAAAATCGGAACAAAAGTAGAAGAGATAATGTCCGACCTCTACGAGATAGACAGACTGACTGCACACTTCTAGTACCACGCAGAGAAGCTACTGCATTAGTATAAGTCGAGATGTTGTACATAATCTATGAATTAAAACTTCTAGTTTTTCTATGATGGCTGTTTTATTTTGTACATTAGATTCTTTATTTATTTATTTATAATTTGGACAACCAGTAGTTGCTACATTAGGTCTTATATCTAAGCACTGACATTGTAATAAATGCTAAATGCACAACATTTTAAGGTGTCATAACATGCGCAGTAGCCTAACGATGACACTTTTATCAGTATTTGTGATAATTGGAAAGTAAAATAAAAACTAAGAAATACTTAAAATTAAAACATAGGTATAATAAAAAACTGAAATAAAAAATATAAGTACATATTAAAAATCTACGTATTATGGTCACTCAACAATATCACTACAGCCTTTTTAAAATTCGGTAGCGTGTCAGCAAAAATATCCACGTCACCAGAAATTTCGTTATAGGACTTTGACAGTCGAGACAGAGCAGAAAAATCCTTCAAGTTGGTTCTGGCAGGCGGTCGATGCAATAACCCAGCCGTGAGCGTTTATCATAGGTTTATCCTATTATTATGTTATTCATCATCATCAGCTCATATTCGTCCACTGCTGGACATAGGCCTCTCCAATGGCACGCCACTGAGCTCGGTCTTCAGCTCTTCCAACCACTGCCAGCCACCTTGCTGATGTCGTCCCTCCCCCTAGCTGGAGGGCGCCCTACACTGCGTTTGCCTAGACGCGGTCTCCACTCTAGAACACGTTTACCCCAACGGTTATCGGTTCTTCGACAAATATGACCGGCCCACTGCCACTTCAACTTACTGATCCTTTGGCCAATAATAAGCTTACAAGTTATATTATTACATAACATAACATCACGCCATTTATCCCCGAAGGGGTAGGCAGAGGTGTAAATTATGCCACTGTACAATGTAACACCCACTTTTCACTATTTATGTTATGAGTCCTATGTAATAGGGGGTGAGCGTATTGCTATATACCGGGCAATTCCAGACTTCGTACTACAACTGAGGTTTTTTAAAAAACCCAGTAGTACTTTGCCCGATCCGGGAATCGAACCCGAGACCCCTTGCGCGGCAGTCGCACTTGCGACCTCTCGGCCAAAGAGGCAGTGGTTATAGAGGTATTAATATGAAAGTGGAGAATAATTAGCGTGATGGTAAGGTAACTATTGTTAAAAAGGGGAGGTTGTCAATTCGACTGTATGTTTTTTTACACCAGCATAAAGAATGTTCGAAAGCACCCAATACAAATAATAAAAGTCGAACCAAACGCATTCACTTTCAACGCCACTACAGCACTATCACTAAAATAAAACAAAATGCATTTATTATGTCATACATACATACTATGATAAGGTGTTGAAAATTATATTATATAGGTGCAGCAAATAGCCAAATAAAAGATGCACACCTCGAACTCGAAGCAGGTTTTTAATAATGTCCCTCCAAAAATCACAGCGCACAACGAACAACAACCGGAAGCAATCAATTAGTCAATTTAACATCCATAAAGCAATTAGTTATTTAGATAATAAACATTTAAATTACAATCATATTATAATAATATAGTCAATGCAAATTAATAATTTATAGTGAATTTGTAATTAACAATAACTCATTAATAATTAAATAATTATATAGGAACTACACCGGAACTAAGTAAGGTTTATAATATCCACGCAAGATAACGTTAGTTGTAGAACATTAGTCGATATCGGAACTAAGCAGTTTATAATGTTTTCACAAGATGGCGTTAGTTGTAGAACATTATTGAATATTGGAACTAAGAATGTTTACACAAGATGGCGTTGGTTGTGGCACTGTTGATATTGGAGCAGGAACTGGTAGGAAGTGTTACACTCGGCCATCCTGCATCTGCCGTGGTCCTCCTCGGCGTTCTTCTCCAGCATCCTTTTTGGGTTGTATCTGAAAACAACAAGAGCACAGTACATTGCTCTAGTAATTTTATCATGATGAAAGTATGGTAATAGGTAGGTAAATAATTTTGATTCATGTTGTTTATCAGCAGCGCAGTGAGTTCAATATATAATTATCACACAGATTTATCTGCCATATAGTGTAGTAGGACTACAGTAATTAAGTTCAGATTATTCGTAATTTTGGAGTAGAAATAATATAAATAGTATTTCACATAGTTACACTTGTTCATTCTTATTGGATATGGACAGACCTCACACAGATCTTATGCTGGATGACACAGCTCAACATGAAGATATTATGGTAATAATTTATTCAGATTTAATACTGGATCCTAAGGCTCAGCGTGAGGATATTATTTTAATCATCACATAGATCTTATGCTGGATCACACAGCACAGCATGAAGATATTATTGTGTAGTCAATCACACAGATCTTATGCTGGATCACACAGCTCAGCATGAAGACATTATTGTAGTCAATCACACAGATCTTATGCTGGATCACACAGCTCAGCATGAAGACATTATTGTAGTCAAACACACAGATCTTATGCTGGATCACACAGCTCAGCATGAAGACATTATTGTAGTCAAACACACAGATCTTATGCTGGATCACACAGCTCAGCATGAAGATATTATAGTAATTAATTACACAGATTTACTACTGGATTGTAAAGTTCAGCATGGGGATGTTATTGTAATCATCACACAGAACTTATGTTGGGCCAGAAAGTTCAATATAGAGATATTACTGTTGCCAATCACACAGATTTGTTTTCCAGCCATCAGCGTAACCAACCAGACATAAATGCTACATGTCTAGTTTTCATGTGCAGCTTGCTCCAGTTGTTGCTACATATTTAACATTAACTTAAAATTAGGAATTTAACAAAATCTTACTACTAATGCACATTTGAAGGACATCACAGCATGCGTTGAGTTGAAAACACTATATCAATTAAATTAAATTTACTTAAATTGTCATGCAACACATGACATACATGCAATAAGTATAAGAAGCTGGGGTTAATTGTACTATTTGTGCATTTTCGGGAAAGATGAAGCAGTGCATAAAAATACATGTTTATTAATTATTTTATCATTATCATAAATAAGTAAGTACCTATTATAAAAAAAATTTGGATAGTATGACAATATTCGGTTTTGTTTATTGACTTTTGTAATTGGGTAGTTTACTCAGTAAGAAATACATTATTTCAATTTACCATACAATAAGATAAGTTTACTCAACTTTCAAACTTCAACTTTTCTTAAAAACTAATCACACTTTCAGTCTTAGATAAAATATATTTGCCCACTAGGCTAGTTTTAATAGCTAAAAATATTGCTAATTAATTAAGTGGGTGTTTTAGGAAACTGCAAACAAATCAATATCAATTTAGCTTTCCAACAAATCAATCAAGTCATCCCTATCAACCTCGCGGTCAGAATCTGTGGAACTATCTGATACTGACGCCTTATAGGGTCGAAGTGAATCACCTGGAACTACTGCATTGAATTTTCTGTAACCCTTCATTCCTTGTATACTACTAATTGTATAACGGTCTATTGTATGGTCAGCTTTGGTTACTTTGTAAGGGCCTGTAAATACACTTCCTAATTTTTTGGTCACACCGGCAGTATTATCTCGTGCTAAACCCCCTTTCCATAGAACTAAATTACCAATCTGATACTTTCTGCAGGTTTTGTGCCTTTTATCATACTGGTTTTTCATAACGGTCATGTGTTTATCAATGCGCAGCTTCGCTTTAATTCTGCGTTCGTCTAACTGTTCTTGAGGGTTAGTATCAGTAGGGCTATGTTGTGTAACATAACCCGGAAAACGAGAATTATTGTGTGAGAACATAAGCCTGAATGGCGAGAACCCCGTAACTGCATGAGGACTGTTATTAATACCCCACACTACGTCTGATAGTTTTTCATCCCATGTGCACTCACTTTCAGCAGTAGTGTTGAGACCGTTAATAATAGTCCTGTTTACGCGTTCAACCTGCCCATTCGAACGCGGACAGGCAACGGCATTTAAAACATGTTTAAATTGTTCCTGGGCAGAAAACTCTTTAAAATATCTACTCGTAAATGCTACCCCTCTGTCCGTAATTATTCTGTGGGGGTGGCCAAAAGTACGGATAACTTCTTTCAAGTTTTTAATTGTCTCTATAGAACTTGTACCCTTAACTGGTAGTGCAAATACGAATTTTGTGAAAGAATCTATAATAACAAGAATATAGCAGTTACCCTTACGTGTTTTTAAAAATGGTCCTAAATGATCAACGTGTAATGTATGCATTGGTACGGCTACCTTTTGTATAGGGTGTAGTTCGCCTTCGACCTTACCATAATTTCCCTTAGCATAGGCGCATTGTAAGCAAGCGGTTATGTATTTACGAATAAATCTTGTCATACCGGGAAACCAAAACTCGGACTTTATAGCCTTTTCACACTTATCAAACCCCAGATGTCCTAGTTGGTCATGATATTTCTGTAATAGTGACCATTTCGAAAGTTTAGGTATAACAAATCTATCGCCGTGTAACGTTTTACGGAACAGACACCCATTAATAATTTTATAGTTACTGGCTAAATCTGAATTATCCGTGCCCTGACTTAAGCGGGTGATTATGTTTTGCACAGCATCGTCTTGTAACTGCAGAGTCAGACGCCAGTCGGCCTCATCAATACGCATTATAGGAATACTATGAATAGGATTACGACTGAGTGCGTCTACGTGCTTCATTCGGTCCCCGGCGCGATATTCGATTTCAGTATCAAAGTCCTGGATAGTCAACCACCAACGAGCTATTCGGGGAATTAAGTCTTTTTTTGTAAGTGTTGTCCTCAATGCTGCACAATCTGTTACTATCTTTACTGGGATACCAGTCACATATATTCGGAATCGTTTTAAGGATTCCACAACAGCGAGAGTTTCCAACTCATAACTATGATAGTGCATTTCTTCTGGACTAGTCACGCGACTAAAATAGGCTACAGGTTTCAAAGCACCGTCATCTTGATACT